TGTTTTATGTATCACCCAAATAGTATCCAAAATATGAACCTCATTATTCTAAAATGTTAGATATTTCCTAGGTACCTGCACTATCCCAAAGGATATGCGATGCAATCACAAAATATGGTAAAAATATATACTTAAAAATTTATTACAGTAAAAGTCACATTGTCATTAATCCCCCTCGAAATACTCCTCCTTGCTTTGAACACACCCAGCCTTCTTGCCGTGTTTTGAAGCAATTCTGAAAATCCTTTCTTTGAGAGTGTCTTTATTGTCCTTTCATATCTGCCTTGAAGGCCTGAACTGATTCAAAAGTTTTGCCTTTTATGATCATTTTGACTTTGGGGAAGAGCCAGAAGTCACACAGTGCCAGATCCAGTGAATAAGGTGGATGAGGACATAGTGTAATTTTTTGGGGCATAAAAGTTGCTGTAAACTGTAAACTGCTTCAGAAAGTAGCAAGGACAGTGGGATAAGGGTGTTTGATGTGAAGGGAAGTATTTTGAGAAGGATTGATGGCAATGTGCCTCCTATTGTAATAAATTTTTAAAATTTAAACATTCAAATTTAACATCTGGATTATTTTACTGAGCCATCACAATAACTCTAAGAGGTAAAACTTGTGATCCTATATGAAAATCTGGGTACAGACAAAACCACATTTAGGGCAAGATTCTATTTAATGAATCATGTTTATTTGCAGATTTCATAATCCTTAATTTTCCTACTTGCTAAAATCAGTACTCACCACACTCTGAGGTTACCGAGTTCTCTGATGCCAGGTTCCCATGAGCGTGAAGAAGCCAGTACTCTGTCTTTCTGCTTCAGCTCCACACTAAGCACAATGTGCTTTCCATAGTCTGTGTAGTGCTGCATCCTTCTGGATTGCTGGCTTTTTGGTGGTGATTTTGCCAGGCGGAGTGTGGAAGAGCTGTCTTGTGTTCTTGGAGGTCGGGAAGCAGTGATGTCCCCTGCGCGCGGAGGATAAGCTGTTTTTAGATCCGAGTTACGGTGATGTTGGCTTTCATTTTAGGGTTAATGAATCTAAAACATACATTAAGTGGGTGCCTTTGAAAAGAAACGCACATAAAACAAGGTTATGTTTTGCTCACTTGCTGAAAATGTGCTCAGAGGCTCACAGGAACCTATCCTTCTGTTTCCTTTCAGTGCAAGGATTCACTATTCACTAATTCAGTGAATGCTGTGTCTTTTTGGTACCAGGGATCAAACTTGGGTCTTTGCACTTGCACAGCAGGCGGCGAAAGCACTGAGCTAAATCCCCGGTTGTGCTGTGTCTTTATATCACCTAACTACCTTGAACAATGAGAATCAACTATTCTGTGTTATTTTGCTTTCCTTAGCTATTTAATTGATTTAATACTCAGGCAATCAAAAAATTTACTTATCCAAAAACATTCACTCTCAATGAAGACAATATTGCTTTTCCCAGGGAAACTGGCTCCTTGGAGGTAAAAAGCAACTTTGGCCTTTTTGAGTATAAAGCATGGATGTATACACAGACACACACACACACACACACACACACACACACACACACACACACAGAGATACAGCATGTCTTTGGTTCTACAATTTCCCTGGGTAGGACAAGTAGGAAAAAAAGTTTCAAAGTTTCGTTAGGGGAACAGTAATGAAAAAAGATCTAGAATTTCTGGTGTATGGCATGGTGAATACTTGATAATACTTTGAGGCATGTAAAATATGTATTTGAGTACTCAACACACCATGTGAACTCAAATAACACTAGTAATACTATTTCCTCAACTTTATTCCCTTTCCTACTAGGCCAGAATTTAGTAATCTGGAGTTTGTGACCCTTGGAGAGGTGGTGTACACCCATGTTCTCATGTATGTTTAAGAATTTTCTCAGAAATTTGTCTTATTTTGTGATTTCAGCTATCATCTTAAAATGTATGTTCCCAACACAAAGAAATCATAAACATTAAAGGTGATGGATATAGTAGTTATCCTGATCATTGTCTACCTTTATTTAAATGTCAAACTGAAATCCATGAATATGTTCAATTATGTGTCTACTACAAATTAAGAAACAGTCATTGTATATTAGTTCCGCTTTATAACAAGTCCCTGCCCCAGGTTTCATTATCTAAGTTTCCCATATTCTAAGGAAGGTGCTATGCTTCAGTGGTTGGGCTAAGGAAGAAAAGAACAGACTTAAAAATGTGAATGACAGGAACCAAATGAAGGTCAAATGATGGTCCCCTCAGTGGAGGAGCAAAGGTCTCCCTGAGTTCAGCAGAGGAAACTGGTGTTGAGGTTGCAGGTTGAGTCTTCCCTGGCCTAAAGAACACTGGCTTTCAAAGCAGCCAATACTATACTTAAGTTTTGAAAGAAAGTTATTCTCTGCAAAATAATGTCATCTTTCACATTAAACTAATGCTGTTAATTTCAGTGTTATGGGTTTTATTGTTTCTGTGCTTCATTTGTTCTTTTGTTTTGGTTTCCTCATTGAATCAGAGCTAGAACATATGGAATTTATTTCTACTTTTCCATTTGCACATCACTAAGCAATAATATAATTAAAATAATTTAAGTCAATATGTTGGTGCGCAGTGATGCTTTTTGCCCCATTAGAAGTGTTTGTATTACTCAGCTTTAAAGAGTAATGTGATGGATCATAGAATCATAGACTGAGGCTTTAGGAATGTCTTATTCCAACCATCTTCCCTACCAGATGTGGACACTGAGCTTTTAGGAGAAGTGAATGCCCAAGATTGGAAAGCAGAGGAGTGGTAGGTTGAGGCAGAGACCAGATTGACACACCAGTTCCCAGCCCATCATGGCAATCCACTTTCAAATGGAAACCATGGCGACTACTGCCAGGCAACAGGGCTGACTACATACAAAGTAATGGACTACTGCACCATCCCAGCCAACTCTGAGAGAAGACTGTGAAATGGTCAGAGATGACAGAAACAACAGATTTGTTTCAGAGCCATAAGCTACAATGAGTGAGGGGAAATAGTGAGAGAAGACAGCAGCCATTGGTCTGCTCTGATGATATTATCCATGCATTTGAATTGTTCCATAACTTTCAACATAAGCAAGTAGAGTCTCCTTAAAATCCAAGCCCATTTGTGCTTTTCTATTCTATATGAATTTAGACAATAAGTTCTTTCCACCTAATCATGATTGTGTACTGTCTCAGTCCTTTCAGATGACTGTAACCAAATGCTGTAGACTGGATTGCTTATAAACAACAGAAGTTAATGGCTCACAATTCTGGAGACCAGGAAGTCCATGATCAAGGTGCTGGCAGGTTAAGTGTTTGCTGGGGTCGGTTCATTCACAGCCATCTTTCCATTGTGCCTTCACATGGTGGAAGAGGTCAGGGAGCTCTGTTATAAGGGCTCCATTCTTATAATTTAATTGCTTCACAAAGACCTCACCTTGTAATACAATCTTTGTGAGGTTAGGCTTTTAATATATGAATATTGAGGGGACATGAACATTCAGTCCATTGCATGTGCCATTGTGCTGGTAAGACTACTGGAAAACAGCGTTTCCTAAGTGAATGTTATTATTCTAATCATATCGTGTGGGGTGAAGAGTTCCTCTGTGATGAATTAGTTGGTCATTGCATTAGTTTTCTATTGCTACATAAAAATATACTGCACCTTAGCAGTGTATGTAACTCCAGGTCCACTGGATTCTTTCAAAGTTTCTTTGGGGCAGAATTCTTGGCGTGAGTTAACTGGGTCTTTTCTGTAGAGTCTCACAGAGCTGCAGTCAAGGGACTGGTCATCCAAGCCTCAGGGTCTTCCTCCTAGCTCTCATGCTTGTTGGCAGAATTCACTTCCTTGAGGTGGTAGCACACATGCTAGTTGGGCTGTAAAACCAGTAAGAGGAGGCTCTCTCTTTTAGAGAGCCTCTTAAAGAATTCACCTAATTAGGTCAGGTACACTCAGGACTTTCAGTTGATGAAGTGAGTGCCTTAGGGACTTCAATTACATATGCAAAATGCTCTCACATTTGCTTTATTTTATTGGCTAAAGGTCAGTTATTTACAGGTTCTGCTTACACTCAAGGGAAGAAGGTGATACAAAGACATGGTTGCCAGGAAGGCATGTTTGAAATCTGCCCATCATAGCTATTAGTTACCTCTCTCTCTGGGAAGTAAAGTGTAGTTCAGATTTACAGACTTTGATGCAACATTTGGAGACTATCAATTAGCACCAATGTATATGATTATATTAAGTTTGGAGGAGTAGAAACTTAGTTCTGAGCTAAGGTAATAGTAAGACCAGGACTTCTCAACCTCAGCAGTACTGACCTTTGGATGGAATAGTTCTTTCTTGTGGGTGACTGCCCTGTGGATTCTGAGGTGCTCAGCAGCGCCCCTGGCTACTACCCAGCAGATGCCTGTAGCAACCCTGCCCCAATTGTGACAACCAAAAACGATACCAGACATTGCCAAGTGCCCCCTTGGATGGAAAGACTGTCCCTAGGTAAGAACCACTGTGACAGAAAAATGAAGTGTTTTTGGTATTTAAAGAAACACGGAATTTGTTTTCTTAAGATGGTATAGCTGTGTGCTGCCAGAAGGCTCTTGCTCCTCTGATAATGCCTCCTTCCTAGATTTGCTCATTTTCTTTACTGAGAAATGCATGGTTTATGGCTGCAAATAAAAAGTTAATGCAGTAGATGTGCTCCCCACATGCACTTTCTTACCCACATGTATGCCAAAATGAAACTACGCTATCATATTTGATTATGTTTTATAATCTTGTCTGAGTTTATAGTCAAGCCGTATTATAAGAGGTCTTTAGCTCTGCTGTAACACAGATCGGATATTTCCCAAAAGAGATGTAATACATAAGGCAAAAACATAATAAACTTCATTCTTGATATCCGAGCTCCTTTCTTAGAAATCAGTGATGTGGCTTGGTGTGGGATCTAGAGGAAGGCACGGTGCACTTCTGAAATTACCAAACTCAAATGCTGCTCATTCCTGTTTTCTCTAGGCAAAGGCAGCTCAAGCATCTCATCCGACGTGAGTTCAAGTACAGATCACACGCCGACCAAAGCCCAGAAGAATGTGGCTACCAGCGAAGGTAGGCATCTGGTCTTCATTATCTCCCTCCTTCTCTTCACAAGGCTGGCTATTTTTGGAAGACAAAGAAAACGTGGGAGTTTTAGTTCTGTGCTACAGAGTGGAAGTGTATGAGGTTATTCAAAAGAAGGTGAAGATCTCTCAAAAAGTTTCTTTTTGGTTGCACTGTTACTGCTATTCATCACTATTGAGTTGATAGGATTTAAGTGTCTTGATTCTAAGGCAGATGCCATTACTTTGTGAAGATACAACAGGCTGATTTAAGGGAAGTCTTTAGGATATTATGTACTTTTCTTTTTGGTACCGGGGAACAAACTCAGGACCTTGCGCTTGTGAGGCAGGCGACAGAACCACTGAGCTAACTCCCGGCCTATGTATTTGTTTTTTAGTATGGAAAACAGTATGATCATAAAACCACTGTGCTGCAGTGGAAAGCTTCTACAAGAACTTGTGAAATAGTGCACCTGGAACTAAAGATTTTGCCAATAGGAAGGTCATGGTCAGTGTAATTTTTAGAACTTGAATTAATCGCCAACATTTTGGAGAAGAAAATAAATTTGTTTAATTAAAGAATAAGTGAAAAGTTGTGCCAATCAGGGCAAAGATTGGTCTCATTGGTATTCTTGATGCAGAATTTTGACATCTGTGTTTGTAAAATACATGTTGGAATTTAATTGCTTCACAGTACTATAGAAGGAATGAGTTATTACCCCATTGAATGAGGAATTGTTTTTCTGGTAGGGATTTAGTGTAAAGTTGACCCAATTATAGAATCCACTCCTTTCATTTGAATGTTAAACATGATTAAGTGCCTTCTTTTCTGAAGTTCAGTTGTTTCTCAACTAATTGCCCAATGAAAGTCTAGTGGGAACATCAGTTGAGTGACTGTGAAGTGTCAGCTTGTTTTCACGGTGTTTGAGCTTTCCTTCCTAGAGTATGCAGAGTGTCGTAGAGACCTACATGTAATTTCTGAGGCTCAATGTCTGCTGCTCATGACATCGGGAAACATGCTGAGGGTGGCCTGTGGGCTTCTTTGATTGCTCTTGCTCTGTGTTACAGTTTACACATTAATGATGACGGTTTCCCTCTGCTGGTGTGTATCTTCTATTTGCATTTTTAAATTTTTTTTAAGAGTAGGAACAATTTATTGAGAGAAAGATAGATTTGTCTCTTCTGACTAAGAGAGACAAAAGGGGGACCGGAAAATGGGATGCCCCTGCATTTTAAAAATTGTGTTTATTTCAGGTACCACAGAAATACCTTCTCTGGGGTACTTACTCCTCAATGGATGCCTAAAGAGTTTTTACAACTGGATTATGTTCTCTTTCATTTAAAACCTCAGCATTGTTTGATATACATCACCCACATTGTAAGGAAGACAGATTATAGTGTTTCCCTCTGTGCATCGAAGCACCAGGAAGCAATCCAATTTTAATTTTCTGCCTGTTGATTCAAATATGGCTATTAGACCGTTCTTGAAATTCAGTTAAGTTAATGTGCGCATCTGTTTAATTTGCGTTTGAGGGTCTCGTTCTTAGAAGCTAGAGTGCAAATCACTTCAACTTAATTTCAATGTGATCTTCTCTAGGGAGAAGTGTGTTTGGGGAGATAATCACTCCTTTCCACCATAGTTTTTGCAGTCCTTCTTACCACAGTGATTTGTCTAATTTGAGTAGCACTGAAAATAGAAAGTTAAACATTTAAATAATCTGTGTGTCTCTGCATTTAAGTTTTCTTATTATTTTCCCCTTCCTTTTGAAAATAGGAAATCCAGAACTATGAGGTTTGTTGCAGGAGGTGGGGAAGGGGACTATGGGGCTTTCGGTATTTAAAAATATCTACTCTTTATGCTTAAAAAATTACTTCTACAGGGACTTCAAATTTTCGCTTTCTTCTGCCAGTCTCCTAGGAGGGCATGCAGGCCTAGCCAATGTTTTATGTGTCTTCTGTCGTTCTGAGAGTAGAGCTAGGGGAGAAAAACGGGTATGTTTCATATGAAACAGAATTTTTAGCAACTGTGTTAAATTAGTATGAAACTTCTTCCTAGATCTTAAGAGGAAGAACTTTATCCATTTGAAAGATGCTATTCATTTGCTTGCATAACTGAAAAAGTTTGGAAAAAATGTTAATTTTTCTATTTTTGTGTATGAATTCATTGTGTTACAGATTTTTAATCAGTGGAAATTCAAAATGTTAAAAAATAAATGGTGTGTGGGTTTAGTTACATAAAAATGTACTTCAGGGGCATCTATTGGATTTTTGAGGTGAAGCCAGGGTAGCCACAGTTAATTTTCCCCCGGCACAGGTGACAGAGCCCTGGCTCACCCCTCCAGTGATTATGGCAGCCCATTCTGACTCTGGCACTGGAATTGCTGCACGGGGTGGGAGTTGTTTCCTGCTGTAAGGCACTTGGGTAACCCCTGAATGCAACGCTGAGGTGAACAGACGGGCGAGGGCTGGCTTCTCAGACAGACTCCAGTGGGGCTTCTTGAGCAGGGTGTGGTAGCCCATGCCTGTAGAACCCCAGCACTCTGGGAGGCTGAAGCAGGACTGTGAGTTCCAGCCCAGCCTGGGCAATTTAGCTACTTAGTGAGACCCTGTCTCCTAGTAAAATATTTAATAAGGGTTGAGATTGTAGTTCAGTGCCAAGGTTTTGGGTTTGATACCCAGTATTCCCTCCCCCAATAAAAAGGTCACCTTCCTCTTCCTATGTTTCTGTTGTTTTCAAGAATGTTTAACTTTGATGTCAAGAACATGGTGGGTGAGTGTGTAACTGGCTTTCTGGAAACTGTTGGATTATAGTGAGTTTCTTCAGTTCCCTTATCATCTCCTGGTTTTTCACCCCTGAATTCAGTGAGATATATTGCCTTCAAGGAACAAAGGTGGAATTTTCAGGTTAAGGTCTGAATCATGTTGATTTCTAAAAGGAATATATATATTGTGATGAATAATATTCCATTTTCCTGCAGCCTTTGAAATTTGTGGCTTTACCTATCACAGCTGGGTCAGAAGCATCTGGCAGTAGTATTGGTCTTTTCTGGGATAGGGAAGGTACTACATCAGTTCTCTGATTGTTGCTAGTGATGTGTGTGTGTACACATGTGCATGCATATGTACGTGTGTGGGTATCCTCCACCAGCTGGCTAATGGTACAGTGGTACAGACAATATCCCTTGCTAGGAAGCATGTAGGTACCACTCCATGCAATGTGTATTGGCAATATAGTAAAGACAAGAGGTAGAGGAGAGGGCAGGACACTTAGATGTGCAGCGAACTTGGGCTGAGGCATAAATGGAGATTAACTGTAAGTGGACACAAGGAAAATGATTGGGGAAATGACAGTGCGCTACAAATTTCCTAAAAATTAACGAATTGCACACATATAAAGCAGTGTTGCGGGATCTGCCACTGTTGCATGACCTTCAGTCCTATACTGAAGTAATACTAGGCTATCCTTTGAAAATGCTGCTTCTTACCTCTGGAAGGAGGATATGAACAGTGGTGAGAAGGCCAGTCCAAGGGATGAGACTGGCCAAGGCAAAGTCCATGGCCAAAAGCTTCTATGTCACTCTGGGCGGTCTGAGAGCGACCATGAATTCCTGCGGCAGGGTTCCAGCTAGCACGAGGTACCTGCTTCTAGCTGACTCATCATAATACATAATCTCCTCCAAAGTTCTGGATGTCATGAGAGATTTTAGGCTTGTGTTTCAGAAACATTGTTTTTCTCTGCTTTTCAGGATTATCTCTAACTTCAGTTTAAATATTAAAAGTTCTTGTGTCCAATCTAATGGTGGAGGCATCACATTTGTTCTCAGCAATTCTGTTTCGTTGATAATGACTTCTGTTCCTTCTATCTATTTCATGTTCCAGCTAGTCCTCTTGGGGTGTAGATAGCTCCTCTGCACATGGTAAGGTTAGATGGTGATAAAGTTTGGTTTTAACCCATAAGAAAATGATGTATTTGACCCACTAGGAGCGTTTTGTTTTAATGTCTCATGCAAAATTTTGTGACTCTAAAACCACACTCCTTTTAAGGAATTGGCAGCCAGCAGGGCTTTCTCCTCGATAAGTAGTGTAGGCTTTCTTTACAGCCCATTATATTTCTTGTGACAGTTTAAGTTTCTGATTTCCTGACACTGTAGGGGGTTTAGGTTCAAGTGTAGAAAGTTGGAAATTTTCCATTTTTTCTCAACATAATCTGCATTCCAGTATTGTAAGACTCTGCTTAATTCTTTCCAGTTGTGTTGCTATTCTTTCTCTTCCACTTTTTTCAGTCTTTCTCATCCATGGGGTGTTCTCTTCTGGAAACAAGGACCTTTGACCTTCAGCAATGCAAGTCATATCCAGCTCATGGTTGGATGGTGCTCAGAGCAGCTAGTCTTGAGCAGATTCAGCTGGATTGGGTTAGATTAGGAGGAAGCTTCCTAGAAACAATAAGCTGAGCATTGGCTTCTTTCAAAGAACACAGAAGTAGGAGAATATGGCTTTGAGGGTGACATCTCAATAACTCAGTCTTCTTTGGAATTAGGGTAAAGTGAAACACTTAGTTTGAAGGTCAAAATTAATTGATTGATGAAGAGTAAGCATTATCCAGCTGTTCTTTAAACATAACCAAATTCAGAGCTTGGACTCAGTGATAGCACAAGTAAAGGATGTGATAGCTGCTTTCTAGACACTGATTAGGAACCCAGACTACTGTGGAATCATGGGATTTTCAGAGCTACAAAGGGCCCTGCCAACTTTCTGATCTGATTTACTTGTTTTACAGAGAAATACCTCTGTCACAGAGAAATGAGATTTGTTCAAGATTATACACATAATAAATCATCAAGCGAGAGTTTAAGGTAGCATATCTTAGTGAGAGCTGATCAAGTTGGAAAAATATAACCTTTCAAAATTTGTTTTTTTGCATTTGAAAGTACTTGGTTCTCTTTTTTGACATTTGATTTTTGGCTGTTCTGAGTTGGTTGCAGGGTTTAAAAAGCTGGTGGAAGACTTTGA